GAGGAGAGAGAGAGAGACGAGGGAAGAGCGAGTCGTATTTTTTAACGCTCCGGTGAGACGTACAAAGAGCGAGAATTATGTACATGCGCGATCTAGATTTGACTTTTCCCAGTCGTTTCTACCGGAAAGTTGACACAGAGTCTTTCAACCGCGCGTAAATGCCCGTCAAACAAGGAAAAGTTTCGTGAATTAATTACACTTTGCTCGCATAACCGCGTCAAGTTTGTCTGACATTTAGATTATGCATTTCTCATATTTGCCGAGAAGCATTCCGAGCGAGAACGACTTCGCAAGCAAATTTCGAATAATAGAGCTATTAAGCTTAAAGACCTCTTCGCACCCATGCAATTTTCGAGGCACAGAGTACACTTGTACCATCGTTACAATACCAATTTAAAATTACATGTTCGCTTTAGATTCTCACGCTCTTGATATTACAAGATAAAATGTATCGATACACCACTCTGATACGTTCGATATTGTGTACAAAGTATATTATTATATATTATAGCGTACAACAGTTCGGACGTAATAGACGAAAGACGGACGAAGCGGATGATAGCGGCTTAAAAATATAAAAGCCGGCTAAAGGGCAGATTAAGTAAGGGCCGCCTTCGTTTCTCTTGGCTAAGCGGCCAAGCAAAAGAAAAAGGTAATATTTGAAGATTCGGATTACCTGATACCGCCTCTCGTCGTATCGTAGTTCAACACTCTATTGCCGTGGAGCCACTGGACGACGCTGTACTGCACCTGCATCGCTATATGGCGCACGACGCACAATAGTTCGATGGTGCTGTCAGCTTCATAGTACTTGTCCCGCAGTGGCTCGCCAAGGGCGTCCACTATTTGGACGGACGGCGCTGAAAGAATCAAAAAGTAAGACTTATCAGCTGATCTTATATTCTTCGATCGGCAATTAATCGCGTGTCAAGGACTCGAACGGATAATTCTCATTTAATAATATCTTTTATCTTCCGGAAGGAAAGCGAAACCAATGCACTTTCCAAGTGCATCGATCTCTTCGCGTAGAAAAACGTTTGACTATATAAATTGTGAAGGCATAACTTCGGTCAATGAGAAAAAGATTGAGCAATGGGCATGTCGCAGCCAATTCGGAGCTTTCCAAGCGCATCGCCGACTTAAAAGTTTCCATCCTCTTACAAGAAGTTTCCAAGTCACCATATTGAAGCAGAGGTGCTTATTACGTTTGGTTTAAATATCAAAGTATCGCAGCTCGCGCGAAAGTTTTGTACATGATATATTACGCATGGAGCATATATCCATCAGACTTTTGTTGAAAACTTGTCTTTTATTTGAAACTTTATATTTCAACCCATTAGCTTCTGATATCCGATTTTCTTTCCTCCTTTGTTCTTTCCGATTTATCGTTAATATCTCTTGTTTCACTGTCGGACTGCCATATAATCTACTCTGTTTGTGCAAATTCTTGAACTTCAGACGGTCTGTTATTATTTAGCGTTGAAAAAAATTAATCGGCAAATCAAGGCAATCGGATATCGAAATTGGAGCATTTAAGTTACTCATATAAATACATAGTACACCTTTTATTCGTCGCGATATATTTCTGTTATGGCGATCACTTGAGAGATCCTTAGTCTAACGCAATCAGCGCTATTTGCCGAGTTCGTCTAGTTCACCGTGGCAATTTGCGCGCCATGAAATCCGGCCGTACACACGAGCGTGATATTGGATTACACCGAATTCGGTTTCAAATATTTAACTTTATGGCCCAATAAATATCTCTCATATTGACGTCATTTGGGCTGTCCACACGATCGAGTACCAAATGCGATCGAGCAAACCCGATTCGTTCGCGTATTTCCATTCGCCGTCTTCCGGTTCGGCTGGATCATTTCCAATTGGTGCCGGTGCCTACAACAGGGCTATATCGCGGCCACGGAGGCTAAGCAACGTACCGTACGGCTACCGAAAGAAATCACGAAAAGGGGATACGTTTTAGAGATAGATCAGAATGTTCTCCCGCCGACCTCGGTACTCAACCTCATGAATATCTACCGCGCGAAATGTAATCTCTCCCGCGCTCGCCCTTTTCTCTTTCACCCGGCTCTCCTTCTTCTCTTTTTTTTTGCGTTCCCCCCTGGTATCTGAGGTATGCCGCATTTTATTTCGCACGCTTTTTCGCAACACATACAAAATTTTCCCCACACCGTGTGCGGAAATATGTTTTTCGCTTATTTTCTTTTTCTTTCTTCCTTGCCTGGTAATTTCACGTTAACGCTTGCAAATTTCGAGATACTGTATGTTTTCGCAGTTAATACAGATAACAGAACTCCGGGAAGAGAGTCCTTGAATACTTTATGCGAATATATTCATTTATATTTTTATGTCTAACATTGTACGCGCGAGACGAATATTTAAATTATTTTTATTAACTGAACCAAATTCATAGACGATAAATAAAATTATTTTCATCGGAATGTGAAAATTTTCACGCTCGTAGTTTCATTTTCATCGCGAAAAGTGCGCGAGGGAACAGAACTTCGAGCAAGGAGCAAAGAACTCGAAACTTTCTCACCGTTACATTTAAATTTAAGACACATCCATTCTGCTCTTGAATGCTTCAAGAGTCGAAAAGCAGATTAGAGGTTGCACCACATTCATGGAGCTTGCGCGATCTTTTGTTAACATCTCGTAACATCTTTTATTAATGTCGTAAAAGGAACACGCGTCGACTAGATTGGTGGAGAGATGGAGACAGAGAGATCGACGGCGGGCATATATAGTAAGACGGACGGCAGATAGAGGTCGAGGGAGTAGTACTGCATACCAAAATCTCGGCTACTTTATCTTGCGGAATCTCGGCCTCCTCGCGGATTAAGTGTTGATCCTTCCTTCTACGTGCGCCCGTACACCAGCACAGCGACGATCCTAGCGTTCCGTGAATATGATGCAGCGACATTAATGTCTAGAACTGCGCGCGAGATTACTCCACTTTTATGCATTTTTTCTTTGTGTCGGCGACCCGTGATCACACGCTACCGATTATATCTCGGACACGACAAAGTCATTCTCACGTCAAATTATAATACTAATTGTACGAAGAGTTAACTTTTCGGTATTTGTGTATATTGTACTCCGTATCGATTATAAGCTCCTAATAAATAATTATAAATTTAGACTCAAAAGCTCAATTAATTTGCGATCGTCGTATTTCTATTCACAGAAATTCGCTCCGTTCAAAAAAACAGCAATTGATAATCAATTGGAACGCGCGACAATAGCCAGGTAGGCTGCATTCATATCTTCTGCGTTAATTATCGTACGGCATGAGATCCATCGATAAAATCGCGATTGCAAGATTCGCACAATGGACAATTGTGTTTACCGTAATTTGACTTTCAAAAGTTGAACAGATATACAGAAAGAGAATAGGCTGGCGGAGCCAATGAGAATGCGCGGTCCGACGATATATCGTACTTTCAATAGCATTTGACGTTTCGGACCGCGTTACAAACGACCTAATGAAAGCTCGCGCACAAAGGTATCAGCAGTGTGAAACGATTAAACTTTAATTGTACGAATATCGAATGATATTTCGGTAATAGGAAGCGCGAAATAAATGCCCCGACATCTCCGCGCCGCCGCCGACGCCATCGAAGATGAGAGAATAAAATAAATAATTATTGGCAAAAGGTTTTATTTTATTTGTAAAGTAATTGCGCGTTTCGAGACGAACGTCGCGCACACCGCAGGAATTATTTTGACAAATTACGGGAATGGTGGAATGCTATAGCGAGAGAGAGCGAGAGAGGAGTACGGGGATAAGTGCGAGGGACTTTAAGTAGATAATCCCTTTGAACTCGCGTTAGGAGATTCCCGGCTATAACACGAAGAAGCTACGCCGTCTTATCCCGTAGAAGCGAAAGCTTACGATATAATCTCGCATCGGCAAAGGCGCGCGCGAACCGGGAAATAAGTAAAAGAGAAAACTCTTGCCCTTTTTATCGCGACCCTGCAATTCTATACGATTTAACGAAAGCTAAGTCAATACGATGTCGCGATCTTTACTTAGATTTACTGCAATTTTTTTATATTTCTCTATGCGCATTACTGATGTTCGTTTGAGATATGTCTTATGTATACGATTGTAGAAGATAAAGAAAGATATTTCAAAATGATCACGTTATCTACTTGTCCACTTTGACCGCGTACATCGTACAGAATACTTCATGCGGAATACTTTTGTATTTCCCTCGGGCTACAACTGATCTCGCGACTTTTTAATAAATGTACCCGCCCATCCGTCTTTACTTCTTATTTCGTGACGCCGCGGCCGTTATGTTTTTACGGCGCGCTCTTATTGTCCACCGTTAGCCTTTGAAATTACGCAATTTCTCTCTGCTCACGTTTATTAAAATCTTCCCACCGTTTACAATTTTCCGTTGTCCATTCCTCGCTCTAGCTCCCCCGTACATGGCTGCCACTCCACCCTTACGTACCCTCATTTCGCCGAATTGCTCGACACACCTCGATTACCGGACTACAACGGAGATGAAGTTCTTCCGCTTTGCACCGCGCCGTCTTTCCGAACTGAACAGACCGTGGATTTTCTCTTCCCTCTATCCCCGTCCATCTCAACTACAAGGCACTTCGTTTTCAATTATCCTTTTAAGCGATCTCCACTGCAAGAACACTGCAGACGGAGGCAATTTGTCCGATCGCTACCAGAACTGCGGAATTTGAGTTTCTCTTCTTCTCGTCTATCCTCTGTCGCTAGAATATTGAATCGTAGGTAGGTGTTACCCGAAGAAATATCGTTTCTTTTTTTTGCTCTTTTACTTAATTCAAATGAGCGCAAGAGTGGCATTGAAAGACGGTACGATCGAAGAAAAAGCTTTTTCTTTATCATATACTGTTTCAATTCTCGCATTTTTTACTATCTATCCATTAGTTTTCAAAACGTATATATGCATATAAGCAATTTCATTTCATTAATTTTGTTCTGAAATATACAGTTTTCTATACTCCACCAAGTCTTTCCGTTCGAAAAACAAAGTAAAACCTGAGTTACAATCATCCCAATTATTTAAAGTCTCTTTTACATCCTTCCTTTGTTCGTCGTAACGCTACATTAAATTCGTCTGAGATACGACGCGAGTGGAACAAAAAGGCGTTAAACGGAAGAAAGAGACATGTAAGCTTGAGTGAGAGTAAATAGTGGAGAAGTTTTTGTTCTTTGCCTCGCTTCTTTTAAAAGGCTGAAACAATTGCTGTTGAATCAAATTGCTCAAAAAGAGTTCATTCAGAAAAATCCACAGATGGCATTCTGTACAAGGAATTTAAATCCGGGGTGTGGAAAGATCGTATTTAAATTTACTCAAAGCGTGTGAACCAGAAACGTGCAATGCGGAAATCTTTCTTTCGCGAAGCAACGATAAGGCGGTTCGATAAAGCGATTATCGCCATTAACAAACGTTTACTATCTCGTGACGTTGACGTTAGGCAGAGGCCGTTAGTGCTTATCACTTACCGTTAATGTGTAGGTTGACATGAATGAACTTCGGTGGATGGGTGCTGATTTGACATTCGTATTGGCCCTCGTCGCTGCTGTTAACACGCTTGATACGCAGACGCCAGTTATCCGGGTACTGAAATTCGATGGTGTATCTCGAGTCGCCCGTGTACGTCTGCTGGCCCACTGTCAGCAGACTCATCTCGCCACTCTCCTGTCGTCGCAGCCAGGATACCTACGAATACAAGACGGATCCCCTCCTGAAGGACGCGATTGTTCCAAAAAAAGTCCATTGAAACTGAGGAAACCACGTAGTGGTTCGTAGTCAGCTTCGTTTTTATTATATCTTTCGCGCATTTATAATACAAATATGACACAATAGTGGCCACCAAAGACAGATTTGGATATTTTTTCGATCCAAATGCCTAGCTGCCAGTCAACACCAAGGACCGCGCGTAAAAATATCAACAGGTGAATAGAGAATCGTTCGCGTACGGATTTTTCCAGTTGTATCGACAATTCTCATGTGTACGCGTTTGATATGCGAGCATGTTTGCACCGTACCTGCTATCTTTCCTGTAAAAATACTCGAATCTTCTGGCAGTATATGTTTTATTTTTTCACGTTTTATATCCTGATTAATATTCCTATCGCAGTGTTGCGGTAATCGAAAAATATAATTTAATAGAATCTTATCAATTACTTTAAAAGTAAGCCAACCTTGATTTTTGTCAGAGAAACATTTTTGCAGATATTCTTCTAATTAGAACGTGTGTAGAGTAAATAAATTTCTTCAATAAATACAATATTTTCTTTTAGTTTGTTTCTTTCATAAACATTTGATTTGTCACTAAATTGGATTAAATCGAAGAGCTAACATAAATTTATAGTATTTATAGTACGATTAATCGAGATTTATACGAGCTCGTGTCAAGGTCAAATTAAGACATAGTGACTGAAATAGAGAATGCAGTTTATCCATGTAACTGACACTGAATAACGTGTTACCGAATAGCCCCATTATAAATGTATGTAATATCATACATCTTCTACATGAACCTACGGGAGCTAATCTGGTATTATCGGTGCTTTACGGATTTATGCATATTATAGTCCGATATCGTGTATGATCTAAAGATGCATCGATTTTTAACTTTTGCTTTTCTCAAAAATATATAATATTTATCCAACAAAATGTTTATAAATATATAATTACTTACTTCTAATATCAAAGCTATCTATCTAGTAAATTAAATAAATCATATAAATCATTTGAATCTATCTAATGTTATCTGCCAGGACAATAAAGAATTAGGAATATTAAGAATTACTTCTCAAAAAATTATTTCGATCAAGTAAGACCTTTAAATTTTAATGGCCAAATTTTCAGACCTTACGCTGTTAATGAAATAAAAAGTAATTTATTTAGATTGAAATAATAAAAAATGGCTCTCATAAAAAGTTCGATAAAAATTTCTGACGTTCTACGGGTATAAACAAATATTTAATTTTATATAATTTGCGAGTCTGCGGTATTGGTTAGCTATAATATAAATTGCTGCTACGTAATAGGATATTATCTGTTCAAGCGCCAGAGAGATTCATGCACACAACCGATATCTGACCGCATAATTTGTTCTATAGTTTGGGGCGTGGATAATGCGAATACGGTTTGTAACTGCATTACAGCATAAATGCAATCTAAATGAACAGGGCAGTACTTTGGAATAAAATCACCTTTGCATACTCACGGTGGTTTTGCAGCAGATTAAATGGCATTCTATTTTTTTGTACATCATGCCAAAATGTTTCTAATTATAAAAATCATAATCAAAATATCATTGTCCAATTAAAAATACGTGCGATTATCTCCAAATCTCTTACGTTCAATATAAGATACAAGATATAAGTACACTGCAAATCTTCAAGTGTGCAATAAGTGCGCGTGTGTGATTTAGTTTTCCGTGTAAAAATAACAAACCGTATAAAAATAACACAGCCGCGTGTTATTTTTACACGGGAAATCGCACACATGTAAGCGTGGCTGCACTTACTACACACTCGGATTTGCAGCGTATAATAATTGTAAAAAAACGGAGCAAACTTTATATAAAGTTTAACGAACACGGATTTACTGCGGAATTATTATGTGCAGATTACGCGTGCGAATAAAACCGGGTCGCCCCTAACAGCGATTACGTGAATTTCTTCTTAAATTCGTTCCTTGAAGTATAAAATGTACAAACGTGCGCGCGCGCCACAGCAGATTAATCATAATAAGCTAAACGTAGCTTACCCAGGGTGTAATAAGGCAAAATATTCTGAGATTAGTCGTGAATTATTGCACCGTGCATTTGTAGCAGTGATTAAAAGCTACGGGCGACCGGATACCGGAGGTACGAGGGGAGGAGGAGCGAACGAAATGACTAATTGTATAAGTGTGCGTTTTCGCGCTTACGGTTTTGTCCTGCAGCAACGATATCCTACAATCAAGCGTGACACTAGCACCAGCCTGCACGGTAATGTTGGAGCTCTCGCCTTCGAAGTGAGGGCCCCATTTGTGATCGTGATGATGCTGATGCTTGTTCAAAGTGCTGTGCGTGTCAAAGATGTAGTTCAGCATTGGTGCATCCGTCGGCACAGATCGCTTTGCCGCCGTCGTCGATTTCGTCGAAATCGAGTCCGTCGCCAGAGGCAGTTCTGCAAAAAGTGCAAAAAAATATACATATATCGTTAATAAAGAAATATCATGCTTGAAAAAAATTATATTCCAGAATTTGGACCGTGTAATATTTTTTATTACGAGCAGCTTCATTCCATTTAGATAATTTTCGCTGCTTGTTGTATGAATACGAGAGCATAAATTAATGAAGATCTGTATTTCATATAATAAATATGGGACGAGTGTATTCCCCGCGTATTATATCGTTTAATATTTCGAGCAACGACGCATATATTAAACATACACGGTATGTGTCATCATTCGAATTGTCATGATTGTTTACGGCATCATGCACCACATTTACATGTATTTTCATATTACGTACACTCCGGCGAGTCTCGCTCACCCGCTTTTTGCATTCGACCCGTCGCACCCGATCGTAACGCGTGACTTTATTTAATCGATTCGCTGGCATTCTCCCGTTATGGGCCATCGCTCAGGTTATCGACATTCACCCAACCTGCCAATAACGGCCAATATTCGACGTAAATATGCATTTACGCCCGCAACAGGCGCAGTCGGGACAACCTCGAGCTGGTATTACCGCTACTTACAGTGATCATACGTTCAGAATTTTTCGGTATGTTGCCGAATAGAAAGTATGTTCCGTTATTTCGATTTATAAAGAGAAAATCATGAATTTCTGTGAAGAAAATATAAACATCTTTCGGAATTATGAAAATTAAGAACATCTGTCGCGATTACTTTTTTTAATTCAAATTAATATTGTTATATGTTATTATGACAATACAAAGTACATTTATTAAATTTGTCGTCAAAATTATGTATTTATATTTAAAAAAGTTATAAAATTTTTAAATTGTCTAACATTGAATATTATATTAATATATTGCTTCTAAATGGAAAATTAAATTAATTCTTTTGTCCCTTTTCTTTTATGATAATTTCCAAAAACCCAGTTCTGAAAGTTGTAAGAATTCCTTAAGAATTGCTTAAGAACACGCCAATTTTGGCTTTTCTGTTTCTGTTACAACGGGCATAACGGACCCAACTTAACCAACGGCATTCCGCTTATGGTAACTGTTTATAGTTCTTCGCGCTTTGTACTCTCTTTCAACTTTGGTAATGATAATTTCTATAGCCGCGCTTCGTACTACCGACGAAGTTCGCGGTACGATCCCGACGTTGTCGGATGCGTTGAATATCTTCATGGATATTTCGTCGCCAAGCGGAAGGAGAATGGGAAAACCGAGAATGAGAGGGAACGAAGATCTCACGCGGCGCGCGCGCGCGACGATGAAGAAAGTCACGTTGCTCGACCGCGCACTGCGAGGATCACCAAGTTAGATACTAACTCGCGATGACAAATTTTTCTGAGTTTATACCGTGGAAGAAGCACCTCCGCGCGCGCAATGTTCAGACACGTGATGTTCAGAGCCAAAGAAATAAAAGAGGAAGATATCTTCCACTAAAAAGTTGCGCGGTGAAAATTGTACGTGGATGGTTTTGTCTTATCGGTTATTTCGTGTCTCATTGTCCCGCTTTCACACGTGCGCTCTTTGACAAACATGAAAATCCTATTCCGCTTGAATAAATATTCATAAATCTCTGTTTTAATAAAAAAAAAAATGCGAAACGTGATTGAAAATTCTTTCATCGGAAATTATTTAACGCACGTATTTACATCAAAGATATGTAAATCCGTGATACGAACGTTTCAAAAGTCATTCGAATTTCAGCGACCCTGTAAATATAAGAAGAAACTCGCGTGCGGGGAGGAGGGGGGGGGGAGGGTAGAGGGGCGGGCGGGTATATCGAAAAATTTGACGTACCGAATACAGACTTCTCTTTCGTAAGTCCCGTCACGTAACGCCAACAGAAGTTCCATTTGAGAGCGCCGCGGACGTAAAGCCCGCTGCAGTCGATTGTTCTACGACCGAAGACGAATTGGAGCACTTGTGCAGGTAATCCTGACTTTCATCGAGTCAGCGATAGGTGAGCGCGGGAGTTCCCCCGGACCTCCAGCAATTCCGGCAATCTTCGGGAGATCCGACACAGAATTCACGGGGGTTGTGCGACAGAGGGAAGAAAGGAATATACGAGCGCACAATCCCACGACGAAGTCGCACGTCAAAAGGGATCAGTATGCCGCGGAGCGCGAAATTTTCTTTTCCTCGCGCGACTCTTCGCCGTCAGCTCGTGCCTCTCTGAAGCTTCCTTATTCCTTTCTCTTCTTCCCCCCCCCCTCTCTCTCCGCACATTTCGATCTCTTCGCCGTTTGGCTTCATCGGTCGCCTCCTTCCTTCTTGCTCGCGCCGACGCGTCAATTCCCGTTCGTTCTCTCGATCGCGGAAATTTTCCCTTTGCCCGAGGGAAGAAAAACTGATCGGGAATTCCGGTGGAACTGTTGAAAGCGTGTCTCGGATACCGAGAAGAATCTATCTAGTCAGCCGCTCGTCACTCTCTCCTTTTCGCTCTCCTTTCCTCTTTCTCTCCCTTTCTCTCTCTCTCCTTCTCGCATATGAAAATCGTTATGTCGTATTGACATTAGTATCACCCGTCGAAGCTCTGCTTTGATACGATCGCGTTGTTAAGGGAACGAATTCAGAAATAGGTATGCGGCATGTGTAATTTTTCGTTCACGCAGACTCGATCGAACTGTGATATGATTCAAAATGGAAACAAGACCGTGGAAAACGATGTCTCAGTTGATATTCCACGGGAAAATCTTTAAATATTTCGACAAGAGATCGCGATCGGTTGTTAATTTGTTCGTATGTTAAATAGTCTTCAACAGATGCACATCTTACAAACTGCACGGTGCGAACGATCATATTGTTTCTACAGCTGTGTGGAGTTGTCCCCTCCCCCCACTACTGAAAATTCACAAACGACTATTTGGTCACTAGATTGGTGGTCGTTTGGTAGTATTTTATTTGATAGCCCATTCTCGATAATTAATAGTCACAGTGGTAAATAATAATATAAAAAAAGACGTGCGTATGTCATATTTTCATTTTATTATTTACAATTTTGACTACCAATCATCGAGAATGGACTACCAAATATCACCAATCGAGTGGTTTTTTAATAGTCGTTTTTTTAATTTTTAGTAGTGATGGGGGGAGAGGGGCAACTTCAAATAGCTTATTTCTAAGCGATATTTGCAGATGTGTCGCGATTATCGGACGAGATAAATCGCGATGAAATTTTTCTGACTTTCAACTAGCATATACCTTGCATCAGCAGATGCGCGATTTAATAGAACTATAATAGAACTTGAAATTTAGGCCACTAGAATCTAAACGGTACGGTAATAGGTAACGTCGACAGTACATGTCATGTGTAACAATACTCACCAAGTAAACCAATCCCCGAAAACTTTCCGACGAGAAGGATTGAAATTGAAATAGAATGATCCATGTACAAACAATATCCGAACAGCTGACAAGCAAACAGAAATGGCGAAGCCGTCGTTAATTCCCGACCGCTCGCGCGAAATACGACGGAATTCAACTTTCAAAGTCCGGAAATTCGGGGTAGCACTCACTAAGCTGAAGAGAGATGGCCGTGTCGGTATGTCGCTGGTACCAGCTGATTGCAACCATTTGTTGGCAAGATATACATTCTGAAATCACGTCCGGTATACTCGAATGTACCGGCATAAGTAATTACACGAGTTTATTTCGTCAGATGCTAGCGAAATCTTGAGTCAGTGGCGCGAAGAACGATTCGGAACGCATAAGAGAAACATTACAAGTGTCGTACTACGATAATATATACTTCAAACGCAAAACTATATATATATAAAATTAAAAGTATTAACCTCGCTTTTTTTACATGCATTTTTAAAAATATATCTATTTCTATATAATTATTCTTATGTAATCCTGCATAAAATAATGTGAGATACGAAAACTACGAGAGTTTTGATTTTTAATGCAGATTCCAAGAATAGATAAGATATCTTCAATACACAAAATTCTTCATATGATCGTGGATTAACATTTTGATTTTAGATACTAGACAAAAATAAGGACAATTTTGAAACAGATTATGATTGGAAAGTAGTTTCTATAAAAATATATAGTTTATAGTAAAGACGAGAATTTTTCTTTTATTTCAGCCGACATGTATTTTCCAATGTATTTTCGTAGTAAAATACATAACTCTAATACATAATGCCAAAAACGTACGCGTACGTATCATGCATTTCGCATATCGCGCGAATGAGCGGAGGACCCTGCGGTTGCGACAAACGTTGATCTGTTCCACTTGGGAAATGCGCGCGTCGTGTACTCTATGCTCTATCTCCGTTCTTTGGGTTTAGTTCGAGAATGTCGTTCTAGAACAGCGGTTTTCAACCTTTTTATGAACTGTATCTCAAATGCCTGGTTCCATTTTCATACCTGAGATAGAGAACAAGACATGCTGTTGTACGAATGCATGGTAGATACAATCGCATGGTTCAAACCACAATAAATAATTCTGATTCGTAACACAGTCCACTGGACCTCTTATGTTTTATGCATGCTTCATCGTGCAATTTCACGTGTTCACATCTCGTCGTAGGCGCTTACAATATGTAGTTTAGAGATGCGTAAATCTCTTACTAAATGTTTTTCTTTTTTAATTTTTCAGTATTTTTTAAATTATAATATAGAATTCAACGGTGCAAAAATAACAGGTGCAAGAATTTGTCATATTTTAGGTATTTTGATTTATGTGAATATATTAAAATAATATATTGATAAGAGAGAGAATATTCTTGATATTAAAAAAAAATAATGTATGTACATATTTAATAATTTTTACGTACATTTAAATGGTATATTTTATAAATTGAATAGTTTTAAAATTTTTTTCTTTTTCAGTTAAATAATATATTACATTATATTATTATTTTTATAAAGAATAAAACTACATTCCATTTTAAATCGATGTAAACATATGTTCTTTTCTTGCTAACAAATAATCGTACTTGAAATTACGTTTATCATTTCCTATCCCATTTACTTCTCACTAGCGTCTTACAAAATTTGACGTTATAAAATGTTCGCGTCGTGAGTTTTCTTCTACATATTCGATTTACGATATTCGTGTAATGTTCGCAAATATAGAGAATATATTGTACGCATTACACCTTACACCATGGATAGCTTCGCGAGACCGATTCGTAGAATCGGCCGATTTATGACAAACGTGTTGCAGGTGCAACGCGTTGCAGATACTATAAATTGCGAGAATTGCAGGTATACATATACGGATGGACTCACGGCGAACGCTCGGTTGCATGTTCGAGTAGTTCTCCCGTTGCGGGTATTGCATACGTCATGCAGCCACGCACGCGAACGAGCACGTGCATTACGCGCCGTGTCAATACGTTCTACACGGTACATGTCGTATTGATTCGAAGTAACATTCAGATTTAGTTTGCCTATGTAGTGATTAAACTACGTCAAAAAGAGAGATGAAGTGAACGTCGGGGTGAGAGTGATGTTGACTGAATTACCCGACTGACGAATAACTCGACACAGTCGATTATAAGGGTTTTATTTGTTTATCATATTTATGTATGTATACGAGGATATTATAAATAGATAAATATATAATTATATAATATAATTTTGACTGTGCGCTAATTAATTTACTTTAATCAAGGACCATCCCTCTTCAACGCCTGTTTTAATTAATCAACACACGGCGAGACAGAGAGGAACAGAAAGAGAGAGGGGGGGGGGAGAGAGAGGGGGGAAGAGAGAGAAAGAGAGAGAGAGAGAGAGAGAGAGAGAGAGAAAGAGAAGAGAAAGAGAGATACATATATATAGAGCGGAAAAGACGGATAGACCGGATGCTGCAGGTTACCATATCATTAACGAATACGTGAGCACGTTCTCGGCATGTTCTGTTCGACGTAGGCGCATTTAATTTACATGCTGTACGCAAGGACGTCGGGCAGCATTCCGCGATGCTGGCAACGCGCTGCGCTAGGCATCGATCTCCCTCGGAATTAATCGCACACGTCGGCGTGCCGATCGCTTTGTCACTTTCATGATTTGCGTACGCGCCCACGTCGCGGTGTACCAAGTAGATTAGAAATTCTGCACGCGTTTCGAACGTCCACGTTGGCGCATCCATTCTCTTCTCTCAGAGCGACGTGACGCTCCTGTGGCGGAGAAACGCGTCGATTGGCGGTATTTCGCCGCAGCGATTCTCCTGTTTTGGGCAATTTCTCTATACGCAGCCGCCTCGCGGCGGAAGAAGATCGCTGGACTAATGGCAAATTAATTAGCCTCTTGCTCGTTCTAGTCGTTCTTCTTAAATTGAAAACGAAGCTATATACGTATTTATAACTGAGGTTACTATAATTTTTCGTACGGTTGTATGTAGTCTTCAGTTAAGTTATCCTTGCAATTTTGCAAAGTTGCAGAATGTGTAACATGCATAATAATAATGTAGCAGAATTAATAAAGACCGATTTAATTGGAAGCTATGTACACGAGATCATGAAGCACATACGGTTCATACCTATAATCTTATTATCATTGACGCGCAAAATTCAAATATCGTGTTATATCCAAGCCTGTTTGTGATATGTAATAAATTTACTCGCTGCAATTTAGAGTACACCGGGCATGCTAATATTTCGACGTGCCATTACTTCGCTCTCCGACATTTCCGATAATCCTAAATTCATTGCAAAATAATTGACGGCCTGATCCGATAGAATGCAATTTGTATCTCAATTCGATTAGCGATTCAGTCGAATACTTGATGCAAAATATTCGTTATAAAAACACCGGAAAGGCGCGACAGCGCGTTTTTTTCCTCCGCTGTCGTCTTAATAGAGATTCTCTCTCTCTCTCTCTCTCTCTCGATAATTGCGTTCTGCGTTCTGTTCGCTCACCATCATGCGAAGCCAATATCGGCACTGTTGCATCTGACAATGCCAAGATGGGCCGCTTCAGCTCATTTCCGCCTTACGAGGAACAATAACCGCCTCTATCGAGAGATAACGTGTCTTCAGCAGAAGAGACCACATTGCTGCGAAATTCTCCGGCACGTCGTTGCGTAAACTATTAACGATTATATACGTTCCAATCCCGCGAGTGAATTGCGTAGTTAATTCGAAGTAGCGAAATGAGACACGCGTTAAACGAAGTTAAACGAACAGAAAGAAGTCATGAAAGAAGTGGACAAAGATGAATGGTTTCAATTACGATGATTTACTATCATTTAACGACGTGCATCCGGACGAAATTTTACTTTGTACTCTTACAGATTCTAGACTGTGCCTTTTAGTATAACAAAGCGTGCTGGTTATGTAATTATCCTTTCAATTCCTTTCTTTCTCCCTGTTTCGACGTAGCGATTCAAGCTTTTGTTATGTATAAACAGTTTGCTTGTAAGTATATAAAACAGTATGTTTTACGATAAAAATTTTATGATAAGACAGTATATTTTTATGATGAAAAAGTGGAATATTTATTAAAGCCTATAGTTTTGAATAAAATATCAAATTGAAGTAACTTTTAATTCTGTTTTTAAAGAAATAAGATATATGCACCGTAATGATTCCTCTGTCAAAACGAATATTGAAATCAGATGTTCCCTTTGCCATCTAAAGACATTTGATCGGCTCTTCTAATCAGTCGCAATATGAAACGACGCATAACACGAAACAACACGTCGTATCGCGGTATTACGAGGTAGTAGGAGGACACGGTCGGAAGTTATTATCGTCTCTTGGATTTACATTCTGTCGTATCCAGGATTTATATTCGTCCGTGATCTAAATTTCATGGAGATTCATCTCGCGTCTCACGAGATAGGCTCTTTCGCGGGCGACACGTACATTTCAGATCCTCGTAGATTCCTGCACATGAACTTCAATCACCTACTCCTTCATGCACGTAACAAGATCGTTAATGTGCAAAAGAGAGTTACAAATTTATCGCATCACGAATATGAAATTATATTACACGAAATTTTATATAATAAAATATATTATAATATATAAAATGTACGAGAGGGATATATAAGTTGATAATTTAATTTTATATTTTTGTTATCCACGGATGAGTTGAGTAATTTTATGAAAACCAGGGTTGTTTTAATATCCGTATTTAAATTAAAAAAAAAGCATTCTGTAGTGCACAACTCAGACGCGTTCATAATTCAAACTCGCATTTACTGGCTACTTAGTTATCTGGTTAGGCTGTTTGGGTATGATTGCAAGCTATAAATACGATGTCACGCCGCTAATACGTACGGCGCCCAAGCATTCCCTATCGTCATTAAAGTCATGAAGTTATGGGATGCGACTAAGCATCCTCTCGTTCCCTTGATGATGGACGTTAGTCGGATATTTGACGCATTCGATACGAGTCTCAGTGACCATGCGCTACGTACGACGATGATTTACCGCGTGCCATGAGTCGCGATGGTCTTGGAGGAATGTCCGTCGCGTGGGAAGCCCGGCCTTCGCGACGCGACGCGTCGTATTATTGCTATATTTCCATCGAGTGACATTTGGACTGTGACAAAAGAAAGCCGCGACGGATATCGTCTCTATATTTTCTGCGAGGAGTGTTTAGACTTTAAATTATGGTGTGACACATAAGTATAATACCGAAATGGGAGTATCAGGATGAAAAGCATGGAGTTGTAAAAATATATTACGACTCAGTCGAGACACTTTCTATGTATGAATAAATCTTGTTTACGACGAAAGGAATACGTTCGTACGTAATACGCTCGTACTTTAATAATGATATTTTATATCGTTACCACAGCGTGCTCTCTTATATCAAAGTTACTGCATTTATATTTAAAGAAAATAAAAAGAAGCTTCACCTATTACAAAATAATAATAGCCTTCAAATATCTATTTGAGATAATTCAAGCTTAATTTCTCGTTTAAATAATATGGCTAACTTCGTTCAACAATTTCGATCAACACATATATTATCGTTATTGCCTATTTAACTGCATTATTAATTTATAGCGCGAATGGCGCTATAAATTAATTTATATATGGCTTTTGCAGCGTTTTATACACGATCACCATTGTCACGTTGAGGACAGCTGTTTGTTGTCGCACACCCTTCACACTAAATGTCGGCCGACCGATTCGAAATTCTCGATACGATCTTTATGGCGGACGACATTGTGTTACCATAACTCACCCCGCGTCGCTCTGTTACGGACAGGCCAAGCAGCGGGGGATTCGGGTTGTTAATACTTGGACATGCGCCATCGCAGTAGCACGCGCGCGATATAAGTCATAAATACAATTCGCGCGTGATCTGTAAATCGATCTCGCCAGATTGTCGATCTGACCGTGCAAGCGGTGTAATTTATAAGGAATTAGCAACGCTCGTTCATTTTACGGCATGAGAGATCCGTCCGTTTTGTTCCTGTCCTCGATTTCTCATCGTTTCATCGCGTGGACGCGCGCGCGCGAAATTCGCAACGGCAGCCCTTCATTTCTCTTCTTACTACACACACACACACACACACACACACACACACACACACACACACACACACACACACACACACACACACACACACACACACACACACTCACCTGTCTGCGTACCGGATGCCGAGAGGTGAGCCAAGCGATAGATCGTCAGGAGCCGAAGAAGCCACATGACACTACACATGACTGGCACGGCGCGCTGCCCCTCGCTGCCTTATCTATTCCCGCTGCTGCGGCCCGTCGCGCACCACGGCCTCGACGTCGCCATCATCTGAAACACAGGTGCGGAGATCGTGAATAAGTAGTCGGGCTCGTTTACGCCCCGGCTTATCTCTCGGCCCCACTCGGGGTGCGCCAATTCATCGTGTTGAGTAATCCCGTGAATTGGAAATCCCGGCGTAGCGCCGTGTTTCGTGCCGGTGTAAGAAGATTTTCGTAAGATGTGACTTTATCGCGAGTGCCGAGTCCTCTGACGTTAAGTCGTCCGGAAAATCGTCGGAAAATATACGCGCCCCGGCGAAAGTTTCGTATACGCGGAGGAAATTCGGTTAAGAAGCAATTCGGCGATTCGACAAGCTTTAATTATCAGTTTTAATCAGACACGGACTATCGGACCTGCAGCCGCATGAGCGTTCATGCATGGCGTATATGCGTGCAGAGATTATAAATATTAATAGAATGGCGGGGCCATTAATAAAGCGGTTAGCGTAAGACAATTAAACGTCGGACAAGTGGAAGAAGTATAACGTACATAAAAAATAGAGAAATCCCCCAGTGTCACGAGGCGAAGTGTCTCACGTAGAATGCGAGGTCTGGATGCGGGATGTTTCCGCGTGGCGCGGCGGGAAATAACAACGGGAAAGGAGGAAGATGCGCGGCGCATCGTTGCCATAACGTAATTAACTCGTTTTATACTGGCGCTCGTAAGTCGGCCGACTGCCGCGCTAATATGAAAGTATCGCCGTCTCTACGGGTATTAACTTCTAAACTTTCCCACGGGCAGAGCGTGCGAGGAGTTTAATTAAAGTATGATTAAACAGCGCGGGAGTAATTGAATGAAACAAGTAATTCCTCGCATTCATGCATTTGGTATAAGGTGTTATATATTGTCGACACGATATATTTTAGATTATTTTATCTCGCAAAGAAATTTTCCGAAACTCCCGCTTTAAAATTAGAGAACGCGGTTTTTAAAACTTTTAAAAAATGTTTCTAAATTTTTGCAGATTTATAATTCCCTTCTCTCTCACATTTCTTCTGTTAATTCTATCTGTAAGTTGATGGTCTACATTATTTTTTAAGATCTTTGAAAGATTAAGTAGTGAAGTAGTAATTGAGAAATCAGATTGGGTCAGTGTGGATCAAGATACCTTACACGTGGAACGCGAGTGAAAAATACGCGATCTCACGTATCATTATCCAATCTCGATTTCGACGACGCAGCGGAATCAAAGGCGACGGCAATTGAGGACACGGAATGGGACGTATCACGTATCGCGTTCTTCTAATGGCTCGCTCATCGACCCTTTCGTTAAAGCTCACGCTGATGCAACTAGCAGTTAACGATTTCAAGAGACCACCAGTTTCGAAGTCGAGTGCGTCGCAAGCTTGCACTCGCTTATCAGGATGCTGTTAAGAGCTATCAGATAGTGCGTAATTGCTGCCATAGGAGAGGAGGATTGCGTTAACTCTTGCTTCAGACACGATATTAATAAGTGTTCAATAAATTTTTAGTATATTTTAAATGTTTTTTTTTTATTTATAAAGATCATTATGTTTTTATGTAGCAAATAAAAAATATACTTAAAATATACTGAAATTTATACGCTCGATGTTATTAAAACTTTAGAGTCTTGATATTTATCGCGGTGTACTCACACTGCTCGTGTTCGCGTCGCGGCTGGAATTCGACGGGATGCCAGATGCATGAGAATTAGACGGAAATACGATTCAAGTTATTTTATGTCACAAAAAAAAAACAGTTTATTACGTACACTATTTACATGAAAAATCAGAAAAATAAAAAGAAAAAAAAATCTGAGAGATAATTTCGCGGATGTGCGCGTAGTCGGCACGGTCGTACAGCAATCGCGGGACGACATATTCGATAATCATTAACGTTAAAGAACACGGGTTCGGCTCGAGTGCTAACAAACGAGGAGCACCGAGGATCTCACAGCCCGAGGTTTTATTTCCTCGTGCTCTAGAATATTCGCGAGCGCTGAATCTCGTATGGCAACAAGTTTAAACAAAGAGGTCGACGGTGACACGGCTGCTCAGCTGACTCGCTCTTTGTTTTGGAGGTGATCAGCTGAGACCGGTGACTCATTGCCCGGCGGTTAGCCTGTTTTCCTTGAACTTATTGTTAAGCGTGCTGTTGCGAATGTTTACGGTTTTTTTTTTGTAGAGCGCGACCAAGGCACGTGCCGCTAGCGGTTATCGCTCGATCGCAGGATTTATATACGAGAATATTATACTTGAATATTATAGCTTTGTCACATTAATCCGGGATTATTATATTCGATTATTAATTATTAATTATCAATTTGCACAAATGCGCTTATACCGAACGTTCCTCTCAGAGACTGACAACGGTTTCGCAAACAGTCCCAAATTTTTACATTTATCCCTCGTAGAACTCCGAAAGAAGTGACTTTACATTACGGGTTTCTGATAGCTAAAATATCGCTGTAATTAAGACGATAAATGCTAATGGAAAAGCCGCGGCGCTCTTTTCCAAATTACATTAGCATAAAAGACCTGACCGGAAGTCTTACAACTCTCACTCTAGGACGCTAAACTTCTCTCGTATCACGGATTTCCGTAACATCGCCGTCGTTACGTGCTCGCGACTTGATTTCGAATAGTTGTACGAACATCTCTTTAATAAGAATCACGCGGCGCTAATGTCCAAGTTTGATCACGTGCCGCCATCGTTTCAACGAGAGCCGCGTAACCGGCAACAATTTTTACTCTTTCCCGAAACGCTGTAAAATGTACTTGCGCGAGTCACAATCAGGAATCGATGTCACGTAGAAGAATCGATTTTATTGAGACATAAAGGAGCTGGGCCAAATTGGATGATGCTGCTTCGTGACTCTTATTAGAATGTTAGCAGATAACGTATTCCTGCGGAAGAGCTCTCGCAAAACGCCGGTCTCCAAGAATCGGTGCACAATGAGAGCGCGAGGAGGCGATATATCGTCCGATTTAAATCTCCCTCGCGGCGATGCGCCGTCACGACGCGCTATTAATTCCGAGCGATATATTTCGGTACGCGCAAGCACGACACAACGGAGGAAAGAGACTGCGCCATCATTGCAATTTATTTATCTCCCACCGATCTACCTCGTCGCCAACCTCCCATTGGTATATCTCGTCGTTAGTTTATTTCGTTGAGAATCGTGGCCGAATGCCAAAAATCGTCCGTATATCGCGTCCGCACCACTACATTCATTTCGTTTTACACTCGCCATTGGCCCCAAATTCCGATTCTTCCCACTTCTCGCGTTCTGAATTTAAAAGTTTTCGCGAGCCATAAAATCTCTTCTACGCGGAATATAACGTTTGCAATCTAGAAATCTTATTGTGTTCATTTGCGATGCTGTACGGCACCGTTTCGAACTTCCGGCTTACTAACTTGTAACGGCAGATATTCTTTAATCAGGAATCAACGTTCTTTAAGAAAAACTTGAAGGAGAGAACAGCCATTATCTGTTACTACTTGAATACTCAACGTTATTCTCAGTAATTACAGTAAAGTAACTTTCAAATAAGTTCACTCAAATTTAATTACTGTTAGTATTTACCGCTCTAATTAACAACAGATTAATTTTAAATAAATAAAAAAATCAGTCTTTAACATCGGTAATATTGTTGGATATTCCATGTTTACTTCGAGGAATTATATAAACGCATGTAAAATGTCAAAATAATTTTAAACGAGAAAAATAAAATCCGATCAAGTGATTTTGATGAATTTATAATATAATCGATACGTATTAATTGTAAATAAATGATGCATAATATCGTGACAGGTTTCGCGAGCATGCCATTTTGCGTTTATAACAGTAAACCGATTTATATTCATTTTTATATTTTTTTTATATTTATAGTCATATTGAAGCGAATTCGAGTTTGTATTCGTTATACTCATATGCTTGCCCCAGTTGCTTCGCATATGTTTCGAATACATTGCAAGTTTATCAGTGAATATTTGACTTTAACGCCCAAGCTTATATTTGCATGCGGAGAATATGACTTCCAAAAGGTTCGAGTGATCGAATTATATGTATTTGCATCGGGTATCGAGTCTGTAAAATTATTTACCTTCTTACAGAATTTGCGTTAACATTTTCGCGGTGCTGTTTCGTCCTCGAGTCGTAATTTCTACGCAGAATCATCCTTTTGAAATACCAGTCGCAAGCACGGCCAAATAAACGATTAAAATTTGTGGTAATTGCAATCGCGCGACTGCGAACGAAATTGCGGCAACGGCTATAAATCCATGTCGAAAATTCTCTTTGTATATTCCTTTGATGCACGTCGATACTTCGTTACGAAGTTGAAAGCGACGGTACGGAACGTATCCCTGGAAATTTTTATGCGCGCGCAAACTTTGCCCGATACTTCCGCGCAGATTTGGCCTTGCTTTTACCCCGCAAATTTTCATTTTATCGTGACCTTTTCACGCGAGATACATATATTTAAATGTGTATCGACATCCCGATTTATTCTTCCTCGTAGCTATTCCGAGCGCGGCACTTTCCACTCGCTGCAATACATGATTTATGCAAATACTTCGTCGTGCTGTATGGACAGGTCGAAATTCCGTGTGGTTGATATTATCCGATAATTATGTCCCCATTCGAACTGGACAGATTGCCAGGCGTCACATGCGAACTTGTAACGATTTCGGCGAACTGTGTGCGTGCAGAATGCGAGTCAACGAAGTTATCGCAATTAAATCGCTCACCCCGGCATAGATTCAATGAAGTATAATAATATGCCCGTAATTGACCAGAACAGGCGAAATGGATTTCTGATTACTTGTGATTATTCAGAAAGCGTATATTACTATTTTTTTCATACGATTATTTGCGACGCGAGTTGCCCGCAGGAAGAAGTCAAAGGACATAAAATTTGGCTCAAGATATTATACGCAAAATTTATTTTAAAGTCTATAATCAAATGCATTCGAAAGCGTTTTCGATGAAAATTTTCTCGAATAAAGTTACGAATGAGAATCAGTGTACACAGTGTACATACAGC